ACCACTCACTCAAACACAACAACAGAGAGCGTGCAGTTATAACAATCCACACACAAAACAGATAAAAAACATTTTCTAAAAAACACAGTAAATAAAAACAAAACTTCACAACTGTTTTGTTGTTTTTGTTTTTTTTTACTTCTTTATTTCCTTTTTTTTATCTTGTCGTTTCAGTTTTTCAGTACTAAGATTACAATACTGTGATACCAGAACGTTCATAATGTCAATCTGAACTGTGTCCACTAAATCAACGATTAGACCAAGGCCACAACAACGTAACAATACATGTTCTCGCCACCAAATACATTGACACTGTCAAGTTTTTCCAAAAAGACAACAGCCCAAAACATCAACAAATAATCAAAATTCAAAATTCAAAAAAAAAAAAAAAAAAAAAAAAAAGAAAAAAAAAAAGGCATGTCCGTTTTGATCACGATTATGACAGGATGATGATGATGATATATTCAGTCAGCAACCGCCATGCATGATGCCGATGCCGAGATAGAATTATTGCAGATATACACCTTTTAAGTTTTGGGAGTGTGACGAGTGGTGTATTTTTGTCTGTACATTATGTGTGCGCCTGTAATGTATGGGAAATGGGAACTGTGAAAGTGTGCGTTGTTGAGATAAAAGTTGGCAATGGGTTAGCTAAAAGGACAGTCAGGACCAGGAAAAGATTTAGATAACGGTGACGTGGAAAAGAGGGAGGAGCAATTTACACAAGACATTTGTGTGTGCACGCAAGCGTATGTGTGTGTGTGTGTGTGTGCGCGCGCGCGCGTGTGTGTGTGTCTGTGTACGCGCGCACGCGCATGTAGCTTGACAAGAGGAAAAAACCATGACCTTCACAAAAACAAAGCAGCGGAAAAAAGGAATAGGGTTTAAGGGCAAAACAAAATAGAAATACAGAGAATAGAAATCACGAAAAAATGACACTAATGAAACGAAGATTGCAACTCAAATGCATGATAAGATTGCTATGATGTATCAAATCACCAAATCAAAAATATGTAAGAATGGGAAAAAAATCTTTCTGTCAAAGTAAAAGTTGTGACTGACATACAAACACAACCAAGAAAATAAGACGAACGAACGTAGCTGGAATTCCAGAGACACAAGGGATCACAAAGAGGCCAAACTGGCAATGGCCTCACGAGTGTAGTAATAAAAATGAGCACTGCATGACGAGAGATGAGATGAGCCGGCCATTTTCCCCACAACAACACGAACAATGGGGAGTAGTCCACGAGAACATGGCAGCGTGCTTGATGTTATTGTAAACGTGAACTGTGAAATGCGAATTGTGAAGTGTGAAGTGTGAAGTGTGAAATGTGAATTGTGAAGTACTGTACAAGAAATCAACAAGGTGAGCAGTCACTTCTGAGACAAGATGGTGAACGATGAGAGGGAAAATAAAAATGCAGTTGTATTTACGCCAACATCAACACAATTTAGACTGTTATTATTATGGAGGCAGGCTTCTGACTCTGCCAGTCAGGGACAACCTGGGCTGAGAGGGATACAACGACATCCCAGCAGAGAGAATGGGACACTCAATAACAATCCCCCCAACTCCGGAATTGAACTCGGGCCTCTTGTGTGTGACAGCGAAGTGTGTAACCACTACACCACAGACAGCGGCATGAAAAATGAAACAAGTCGAACAAAAAAGAATGATAAAAACGAACGGGATGATGATAACATTTTGGGGGGAAGGGAAAAAAAAAGCGCCACAGAATGTGCTGACCGGAAATGAAAGGCTTTCCTTACACAATGCCACAGTAACCCTACAGCGTAAGAGGAACAACATCGTGTGCCCGCCGTGTTGCAACACACCAATGCGAGCAGCGCACATGCTATTCCAGCTTACATTCACCATGCATCACACATCGCAACACATGAGGAATCTGAGAATGGACACACACTGTGCAAAATGGACACACACTGTGCAATGGAAAATTCCAGTGTTCAAACATCTGAAACTGTTTTGTAAAGTGCAGTGCTTTTTAAAAATTTTTACAATGAGCTGAATTATTGTATGAATATGTAAACACGTACAATATGTACAAGTCAATGAGCTTGTAATGACAATTATGTCTCAAATGCGTTATAACTGTGTGTGTGTGTGTGTGTGTGTGTGTGTGTGTGTGTGTGAGTGAGTGTGTGTGTGAGTGTGTGAGTGTGTGTGTGTGTGTGCGAAATGAAGTAAATGAAGCCACAAAAGGGGTGAACATCATCAACGATAAAGGTGGAACTGAGTCTACAAGCAAATACTATGTACTATAATAACGCAGTAACACATACTCATGGGGGTCAAAACACACGACATAATAATTTGAGGTGAAGAAGCTGTGTCAGAATACAACTAAAATACACACGACACGGGCAGGGTAATTGTGACACGACATCACAACACTGGAATAACGACACGCGGAACAACTGCTGGGATGAAGTGTTGAGAGATTTATATCTATCATCTCCCTATTGTCTACCCTACTAGGTGGACAAACGATGTCCAAATCTATACTTGCCAATGAGATGGCTCAACACAAGAACGATGCTCAAATCTATACTTGCCAATGAGATGGCTCAACACAAGAACGATGCTCAAATCTATACTTGCCAATGAGCTGGCTTAACACAAGAACGATGCTCAAATCTATACTTGCCAATGAGCTGGCTTAACACAAGAACGATGCTCAAATCTAGACCTATTGCTATTACCAACAAGCGGCTAACCAGAGCAGTGCCGAAAATTGGGGCCACTATCAGAATAGAAAGGGACTGACTACCCATTGCTATCTTACTATCACATTGCCACTGTGACGTGGACAGTGCTGGCTAATAGTATTATTGTTAACCCTATCTTAACTAACCCATTTACAACGAGCAACTATCAGTTACTTCCCTTCATCTTCTGGAAACACCAAGGATGCAGAACTCTTTAACCATTCCAGAGAGGTGCCTTCTAATTGTTATAGACAGAAAGCCGCTATAATTAGCATAGTCTGGGTTATTTTTAAAAGTAATTTTTCCTTTACTTAAAAATCTGTTCAGCTTATTTATCACCCATTGACAAACAAAAAAAACAACCTTGAGCCTTGAGTAAAATTATACCAGAGGAGAAAAAAAAAAGCAAATTATGAGCGATCTGTAAAAAAAAAAAGGTCCAATAAAGAATGCAGTACAGACAACCTACCACACAGGCAATGAGGCAATGAACTGTCCCTGAGAATAGTGAGGCCAACTGGACCATCATTTGTATACATGCACATGCACCCTAGAACTCCCAATGTGGAGTCCACCATCTTTGTACGTTACTCGCTACTTTCATGAAAACAGAAAGGAAAAAAAAACAACAACCCACAAGCTACAGAGAAGGATGGGAGTTCTACATATTGAAAGATTTACCCATTTTTTCCCCCTGTCTTCTTAGACCAGGACTTCGCGTTTAGTTCGGGTTTGTTTTTTTGGATTGGCTTCTTTTTGTGGGTGGAGAGGTGGGGGGGGAAAGGGGTGGAAGGAAAGTGGCGATCAGTGGTCGCTGGACCGACTCCCTGTCTTGTGGTTTACTGTCCCAGCCCTTGAAACTCAACTTAACAAAAGACAAAAAGATTTGTTAATTTAAAAAAAAAAGTTTCTTACTATTTTCCAGCACTTGCAACACAAACAGGTCATGTAAGTGCCAAAGACTGGAAGTGTTACGAGAAACAAATAGGAAAAGGAGGAGGATAGATTGATAGGGACTATAGAGGTTTGATAAAAATGGACTATAGAGGTTTGATAAAAATGGACTATAGAGGTTTGATAAAAACAAGGAGCACACCACATCAGAGGACCCGCCAATCACCCATAAAACAAGATTCCCGCTCAAACAGACTACAGAAATGGAAACTGACTGAGGTGTCATCCCCAATGAACATGCAGCATCTCAAACTGTCCAAAGATGCAGCATCTCAAACTGTCCAAACATGCAGCATCTCAAACTGTCCAAAGAGAGAAAAAACACCGTACCCAGACAGATATATATCACAATATTATGACAGAACACACCAGATCTGCTGAAATCCACGACGGCATCTTCCAACCCAACAGGCTTCCTACAAAAACACTTGTGTATTACATTGTGACCAAGTCATACTAGTGCGTATGATAGAAATACACACATTATTAACATACTCAAACAGAACGGTTCAACTGTGAACATTCTATCCAAATTGAACAACTTCTGGCAAAACTAGTTACGTCCAATACACTACCCGATTCAGGATTGAACAACCTTGGGTAGATGAGTCTTCTCACATAAAAATTTCGCATTCCAATGAAACAATAGCAAAGGAAACGACATTTATTAGTCACTGCAAATAACAATAAGCTACAATGTATTTGTTCAAATCTACATGTCCTACTTTCTATTCATTCCAAAAATCGGTGAACCAGCATAACTGAAGATAATCAGAACCCTTTAGAAAAAGAAAATTTAAAAAAACAAAAAACTTCATGTTTATCTGATTTCCCATGTTTATATAAAGGAGGATATCTGTCACATTATCTCCATCCTTCAGAATAAATTTTTTAAAATCTATATTACCACTGAAACTGTAGTTGAAAAAAAAAAAGGACTACATCAAATTAATTCCAACCAGACTAAAATTGTTTAATGTGTCCGGCGCGCTCACATGACCTTATGCAGTTGCGAGCGCCGTAACTTAAAACCCTCTACTATAAAAATATATGCAGTTGCGAGCGCTGTAAAACACTTACCAAAACAAAAAGCATCTTTCAATATGAGCCTCATGCAGCCCAATCCTCTTCACCCCCCCCCCAACCCCCTCCCATCTGTGCAGATAAAAGGAAAAAAGCTTATGTTTGCAATAAATCATGGTCAAGAAAAGCATAGCTAATCAGACTCTATCGTACCACATTGAGCAGCATGTACTGTGCCGGTTCTTTGAGATCATGTTCACGACAACCTAGCATAAAGATACTTCTTTTGAACCATTCACCCTCCTCGTCTTTCGAACAAAATATGCGATATATGGGTAAGTAATCTTGAGCCTTCAGTTTTTTTCTATTTAAAAAAAAAAAGCTTTTCCCTAGGTGTACCATTTATTATGTGTATGTTACTCATATTATATGTATATATATATATAGATATATAAACCTGGTTAAAGGCATATCATATTTACAAGCTGCCATAGCAATGAGGCATTTCAACAAAAGGATAATATGACAGTCATGTGATGAAAGACAAATCTTCAAAAGTCAACACAACAAGGAAAGTATAAAACCTCAAAAGGGGGGGGGGAGGTGGAGGTGGGGGTGGTATGCCATATTGTCAGAAGATGGTTCTTCTTACTCTGCTATTAATTTTATTGATGAGAAAAATGTTCCTATCAGTAGCAAATTAAAAGACAATAAATAGAAGGCAAGAAACCAAAACCTATTTCAGCTCCGATCATAAAGGTAGAATATTCATCATTACAAGGTAACGGTAACAGTGAGAATCTTCCTAAATTCTTGGCGTTTCCAAAACAACACATTTTTCCGTAGTCAGCGCAAACTGCTTTCAGGAATGTCGCATAAGGCCCACAATGAAACAGAACTGAAATCTGATGAAAGTACAATTTTGCTTCGTTATTATTATTTATACAGATTGCCAATCGCTACAATAATCCTACTACTACATCAACACGGGACTAAATCGATTAACTTGAAGAATCTACAGCAACAAATTTATTATTATTACATTACTTACATCACTGTACGAAAAAAACAAAAAAACGTTAAAAATACCAAACGACAGAACACACACACACACACACACAAAAAAAAATACAAACCAACCAACCAAACGAACCCATAGATGTTGCAATGATCAGCACTGACACAAAAAGCCAACAACATATTAGATGAATGAGACATACATAATTATATCATATTTCCCCAGAAACAGGAAACTTTGTCAATGCACGTTCTTCGTGCGTGTGGCAAAGGTTTAACACGTCTCAACAAGTACTCCCTCAACAACCCGACTTACTACTAATTTCAACCGGGTTACACTTCGTACGGAATAACCTTTTAACCTTTGTGTGGAACAGCAGGTCAGAGCAATACCCAAAAAACACCCCCCCTCCCCTCCCAAAAGAAACAACAACCCATTACTCCTTCATTTAACAAACACCCTGGGGGGGAATAAAAAGGGGGGGGGGGGGGAAAGAGCAGAAAACTAATATTCCATCTTGTGCCCGAAAAAAGTTTTCCGGTTGTTCAGTACAACACATTTCTAGTAAAAACTTGGGGAAACACCTACTAAAAAATAAAAAAAGCAACTAAAATTATGTCAAAACTTTTCTCATTATCATTGAGCTGGGCCTCGCACCGAGAGCAAAGTGGAATTTACCAACGTTCTCACATTTCGCTTTTCAATGAAAGCCTCAATCAGAAAGATATCGACAACAATCCATTAACAAAAAGAAAAAAATCTCATCTCGTGAATCATTTGGGATGAATCAACTTGTATTTGCCTGAATCTCATCTCCTCCAAATTCAGTTGTTGAACAGAAGGAAACACAGTGGTCTGAACGACATTATTATTTTGAGAAGCCACATAATTCACTGTCAACTACTTGAAAGGAAGTAAACAAAACAGGATCTCAAGAGATATACCATCTTGCATCTCCATAATGCACTGATGCAAACGAATGAATCGTTCGCAAAAGCAGCTAAGACTTCTAATTTATCTTAAAGCTTTTACATAAGGAATTGACAGAGGAGAGAATACTTCCATCAAGGCTGATGTGAACAAGTGTTTCCCCTATCTTACAGCTAGCGCTTTTCTCAGTGGCACTTTGAGACGAAGATTAAGACAAAATTGAAGGCGCCAGTAGAAGACAAGATGCTCCAATGATTATATTATCCTAAACTTTTATGCCGAATCAAATAATACTGATGAAACTTCACAGCCCCACTAGATAGATAGATGCAAATGGAGCACGACACTTCAGATAAAAGTCAAATGTGTTTACGATTTTCTAAAACGTCAAACCCAATATTCTGCAAGTCTACACTGTAAACTCATAGCAAAGGCCTGCAAAGAACCTTACTTGTGGCAGAGCAGAGAAAGCCTGGACAGGACGACACCTTCCGGAAGAGACGTACAGAACCACCAGTAACCAATATCATCACCAGTCAGAGCAAGGAGTACCCCTTGTGAAAGTTTAGCTAGTATTAAAATCTCTTTAACTCGTACAGACTTTTGCTCATGTTTCTAAAACAAAACAAATCAGCTACTAGTTCTACGCTTTTCAATGAGTTCTATCAGTATACAAAACAGATCTGATACAGGAATTTCACATCTGTAAAGACTGCAGTCTGTCATTAAACCGATTACAAGGAGAAATCAGTCTTGCAAGCACTTTGTCCACAGAGGGAGGTAAGACCCCCACTAGAAATGCAAAGCAAGGTGTGGACTCAAAGCACTGTCCCGCTCTCTTCCAACTCGAACTAGTCACATCAGGTCATCACCGTCTGCCACGCCACGTTTACAGCAGCCCCTATAGGAAAGCAGCTTTCAAAATCCTGTCAGCTTAACTTAAAGGTCAAGTCGAACTTCTTGCCACCACTATGCTACGTTTCCAGACCCGCCATTAAGAGATGGGTAAACTGCTGATAGGCGACGCTGGGTCGACGCCGGCCGACGGCTCATACTTGGACATCTTGGCCTTCAACTTGGCGTTCTCTTTCCGCAGCTTGTTGACCTCGTCCCTCAGGCAGCCGTTTTCCTTCTCCAGGAACGCTGCCCTCATGGCAATCTGGTTCTCTTTCACCCGCCGAGCGTCGCGAGACCTTTTGGCTGCATAATTGTTCTTATGGCGGCGGTTCCAGTATTTTTCATCCTTCATCTCGTCGGGTACAAACACCTTGAGGAAAGACAAAGCAGGCAATGAAATTACAGAGCAATCGTCTCTTTTTATTGGAAATCTCAATACGTCAAATGAATGACCAAAACAGTTTTCTCAGATGACAGATAAGGAAGACAGCTGTTTTGATAGCAAACCATACCAGAGTTCCTGCCAACCACCCCTAAATTTTAAACGACCAATGAAAATGAATGACAAAGCATTTTTCAATCTCAATATCCAAATCTTATTTCAAGCTACAGTGACTCAAAATGTCCTACAATTCTCAGCACCACAATAACCAAACCCAAGTAATTGCTACATTCCTTGACTGAAAGTATCACAGGTTTCAAAATCTGTAATTCTGGTTTCTTGAACCACGTAACTACGATATTCAAATACAACTGTAATAAACACAAATATTTCCATATCAAACCCTGCAGAATGAAGAGTAAAGTCGTTCTAATGCATCATCGCAAAATTACACCAAAATAAAGCAATGTAAGACTCATTCCATACATTTAGCTTTTCAGTTACCACTGGCTTCAAGAATAACATTTTCCCTTCTGGAACAGAGATTTTTTTTGAAGCAATTAATCTGCCAAATCCAACCCCATACGTACTTTCTTTGACTTCTTGATGACCGGCTGGGGCTTGAGTTCTTCCTCGGAGAAATTCCTCTTCCTGGGATCAAAATCTTCATGTCCTGAGGAACAGATAATAAAGGAAATCTGTAAAAATCATCACTTCATGATACGACGTGAATTAAGACCAGGATGTCCATACAATTCAAATCTAAAAGGACAAGTTGGGCTAGGCCCAGAAGTTTGATGCGTTGTTTTTTTCTTCGATACTCAACTGGCCATGTCAGGCGTGCCAACAGTTCCATGACCAAAGATAGCAGTCTTCCTTATGATCCTCCAAAAAGTTTGGGGGAAAAAAATTTGAGTCTCCGGAACCCCAGTAAATAAAGATTACGGAACAAAGCAGCTATGGCAAATAAAGGTGAATTGCAAAGGATTGAAAATATTAAAGTGTATTTTCCTATTATTTCGATAAGTTGGGCAAGAAAAAGAAGATAGGATTTTATGCAAATCGAATCAGGGTTCTTTGGAGGGCAAAATAAAAATCTGAGAGCTCCGATTTCATCTGAGGACAATCACATTTTAAGGCTAACAAGTTGTAATATTCAGCTGTCTTTTCCACACCCACTCTCCGTGCCGAAATCAGAAAAGCTGCCCCCCCCCCCAGCTTTATAAATATGGACTTCCATCCATTCTTCAATGTGGTGTGTTCGTTGCTGTGCAGTGTCCTGCTACAATTGTGGGAAAATGAACACATAAGTCAACCGTTGGATTTGACATCTTTGACATTTTGGGATCTCACTGACTGAATCTCTTTTACCCCTCCCCAGTCAGACCGAAGGGCTGGACCCCAAATGGCCGCTGGATCGGAAAAGGAAAAGTAAAGTAAAAGTAAGTACCCCTCCCCAATACTGTGGGCATATCTGGCACGCCCTAATAATTCACTGCCCTGTGTACACTGTGGGTATACCCAATACGCCCTTGAAAAACCTGCGTTTTCTTTCCCTCATGTTCACTTCTACCAGTTTTGAAAGAAGAGAGTTATATATATCCCTGTCTCCATTCATTGTTATCTTGCCAATGCCATCATACCTATTTTCAGACTGATGTGAACGGGAATCATACAAGATAGTGTCTAGAACAAAGGAAAGTGTGCGAGTCTGTTGCGAGTGGAAGAGAAAGATTGCCAGTAGAAGTATGTTCTTCTTTACAGGAAAATGGTCTTCTGTGTTGTAACTGTTTATCAGCTGTTTTGTAACTGTGTTGTGCTACAGTTTTCTAGAGTGCAATAAACCCAGACTGCAACTAAAGATCACACTTTAAGAATGTTTCTATGGTATGGATAATGGATGTAATTTAAGAGCACAGAAGGCATTTAAAGCAGGAAAAAAAAAGATTTTTCTTCACACTCTCATCTATCAAATTACTTAGCAGAATATCTCACTCTCATCTATCAAATTACTTAGCAGAATATCTCACTCTCATCTATCAAATTACTTAGCAGAATATCTCACTCTCATCTATCAAATTACTTAGCAGAATATCTCACTCTCATCTATCAAATTACTTAGCAGAATAAAGTTAACTTGGATTGTATTTCATTTCTCTTTCATTTGATGTAACTTTTCTATATTTCTTGCTTATAGTAAGCTAGCTATAGACCATCAAAAGGATAAACTGTGTCAGACGCAGACACAGCCCCCGGGGAATATTTCCTCCCACACAGCCTCTTGACTTATTCATAGCAAACAGGCACGCAGTTAACAGTTGTGTAATGCTCCATGAGGTCATTGAGAGTTCAGTCTAGGAAATTCAGCCATAACACCTCTATCAGTTAACTTATGAAATTTCTTCTCAGGTTATGACTAGTTTAAATCGTGTCAATTACAAATAAATATTTGTTTAAAAATCTAAGCTGAAAACTGGCTCCTGGGAACTGTTTTTTTTTTTATTGTGTAATGACATTTGCATTTCAACAGCCTCAGTGTGCAAGAAAAAAATATGGCAATAGCCTCCTTATCTAAATGATTTTTTTTCTCTCTGAGTAAAGTTGCCTTTGACCTCGTATTGCTTACAGTTTTTCCCCCCATCTCTCTTTAAAACTATTTTAATCTACTAGCACGTTCGTTGTATAATTAGAAGCATTGATAAGTCAAGTACGAGTCTGAAACAATTCTCATAGTAGCTCCCACACAACACACCAGAGGCACTGCACTACACCTTTCCCTACAACATACCAGCCCGTAGCATGCTACAGGTAAGAACTCTGACTACCAAACAGAAACGCAAGACCCACAAACTATGAGGTCAAAGTGGATGAACAAAGATACAGTGAAGAACTAACACTAGCGTACTATTTTTAAAAAAAATACCAACAGAATAAATCAACCATACCAAATAAAACAAAATGAAGCTATTTTCTAAAGGAATCCTACAGAAGAGACTACTTGAAAAGAAATCTAGATATATTATATCAACCATTAGTTCACTGCAAAGTGCGATATTTTTGTTGTTGTTGTTGCCTGAAGCTGCACAAGAAGGAACCAGTCTAGAAGACAGATGAAACATTTGGGACAGGGCCCAAAATTTAGCACTAAATAAACAGTGCATATATATATATGGCTTCGTACAAAGAGTGGACTGACACTTTCCAAAAACATTTGGGACTGCTCCCAAAATAAAAAATGCAGGATCAAAAACTGAAACTTAAATCTTGGAACCCCAACCTCTTATTTAATAAGTACATCTTTTGTAACCATTCAATGTAACGGACAAACTTTCAGTTCCTTAGGACAACGAGGAGACACTGACAGACAATAAAACATGTAGAAAGAGACTAAGAATGAATATTAAAAGGGAGTCAAAAACTTAAGTACAGCACTTGATGATGATGATGATGACGATGATGATGATGATGATGATGATGATGATGGAGTCCTTTGACCCTCTACTAACCTAAGACTCCTTGTACTTCTAAATCCCCCTCCTGGCTTCTATTCCTTTTTGCCACTGTGTTCTGCCAGCACGCATTTTAAGATAAGATAAGATAAGATAAGATAGTACTTTATTATCCCAGAGGGAAATTATCGAGTACCGTTAGGAAAAAAAATATTTTCTACATATATATAAAAATATCTTTTTTAGATTTTTTTTTTTTTAAAAGGGTACCAGACACCAGGAACGAAATGAATGAACGGCAAGAAAACCAACCAACCAGTTTTGGTGAAACAGCGCAAAAGAAAATAACTGTGTGCATATATATAAATGGTTAGTAATTGCTCGTTTATAAAGTAGCAACATGCCACCCGCGCCCCGCCCCCCTCAAGCAAGAACACCTTGCTTTATGAAACAATGATTTTTTTTAAAACAGACTTCACTAAACAGAGTTCTAACTTCTCAGAGTCATAAATCAGCGGGAAAAAAAATAAAATTCCAAGCAATGCAACCAGTCTCTCCAAGATAGGGGGTCCAAAGAGAAATAATAATAATAATAATAATAATAATAACAGATAGCATTTGTATAGCGCTTTATAACCC